CGGTTGCTCCGTCTTCCATGATGGGAATGAGTGAGCGTTGTGGGTGCTGGCAATCTGTCACGGCAGGACCCGGGGGCGTGACGTAAGTAAGCCAAAGTCCAGGAACAGTCCGAGGTCAAGCCGAGAAAATCAGGTAGCAAGGTTCAAGCAGGTTTAAATCACAGTCCAGAAGCAAGGTCAGACATACCAAGGTTTCAAGTCCATAAATCACAATGATGCCAGAGGAGTCAGAGATGAACGAAGGTCAACGAAGCCGAGGGTCAAGAGCCGAGGATCAAGCCGATAAGAAGTCCACAAGGTCTGGAGCAGAGATGCAAGGATTCAGGTCCTGACAACAACAGTTGCCAGCACAAATGACTGCTGGCAACAGGCTTGCTTATATACAGTGCTAGCTAATCAACTCATTAGCTAGCCGGGAGCAAGGTCAGGATCCTGTCAATAGTCAGGGCTGAGAGATCTTCTGGCACGCATGCATGCATTCTGCCTTCGCTCTCTCAGCTGCTGTCTCCTTACATTCCTGAGCCTGGTTACAGGTGGGGGCGAGTCTGATGAACTACTGGGCTGCAGCAGAGACTGATCCCTTGCAGGTGTTCCCTGAGAGGCTTGATCCTCCTCACCACTTAGTTAGCTTTCAGCTACAGGATCCAGTCTTTGCCTTTCTGCTGCAGTACTGTCCTCAGGAGCCTGTAAGTCCACAGGCTCCTGGCTGGCAGGTGCCTCCTCAGGGGCATCAGCAAGGGCAGGCATGACAAGAAGCTTCTCATGTTGTTGTTCAGTCGCACAGTTGAGTCCGACTCTTCGCAACCCCATGGACCACATCACGCCAGGCCCTCCTGTCTTCCATCATGCTCCATATCTCATGATATGGAGCTAAGTAACATTACCTGGTATCCCTCTAAGCCACTATGAAAGGGATCGGACATTTTTCTCTAGAACAACTGGCAACGCTACATACAGCCAGCTGGTTTTGAAAATGAATTGTTACAAAAGCAATCCTGATACAGCATAGCTACCAGCTGTTCAGTTAAAAACTAACAAATGCCACTGGGTGTGCCCAAACATTTAAAACAGTTCACTGCAACTTGGAGGCACTTCAGGAAAACTACCTTTCCCCTTGGTGACAAACCTGAGATAAATTCCCTTTATGTTGGGTGTGGAATCAAAGGCATCCTCTGGCACTGTGGTGATTTTGTTGTTCTGAAGGTACAGATATTCTAGAGATTCAGGTAAATCAGATGGAATAGCCGTCAGTTGATTGCCAGCCATGTCTAATATCTGAAAGAAAGGCACAGACAACAGACAGTTAATGGAAATAAATAATAACCTTATCTTTGATGCTTTGAAATGGGCTAGATTTACTATATAGGATATTAGGACAATCTTTGTGTATTTTGTGCAGGAGAGGATATAATTGCCTAAATTAGTGATATGCTGGTGCTGAGATGGTGGGAATGTATATGGAAATGCTCTGTAGCTGAGGCAGGTGCAACCCCCAGTATCTTCACAGCTGTCTTTGGCCCACCTTTAGTTCCAGCAGCCCGTTTTCTCCCTCAGCTCATTCTTTGGGCTGTCCTCGTTATTGTCTCACGACAACATTACTTCTGGCCCCTGTCTTTCCCCCCTCTTATTCACCAGTAATATTATTAATATAATCACCATACAATTGACATGTTTTTATATATATATGTTTTAAATTGGCTTAATGATATATTTATAATGTTCTACTTTTCATTGTTAGCGATCATGGTGGCCCTGACTGGGCAGAAAGGTGGACTATAAATTTTGTAAATAAATAAATGCAGCCATAGAAATGGACTGCAGTTGTGTGACACGGCAAGTTGTGGTCTGTGCCTCAGTGGTAGCTCATACGGATTGCATCCAGAAAGTCCCAAGTTCAATTCCCAATTCTTTCTAATTCAAGGATTTCAAGTAGCAGCTGTTGGGAAAAGCCATTCTCTGCCGGAGTTTCTTGAGAATTACTACCAGTCCAAGTACATAATATTGAACTTTTTCATTTGACTTATCTTTCTTTTCCTTGCTCCCTGTAGTTTTGTTAGGGTGTGTTTTTTTCCTGACAGGTATTCTAGATGTGACAGGGCAAATAGTAGCTGCTGCAACTTTTATTGACTGTACAACATAGGAGAGTTCAGCAGCTGGTGCTCAGAATGTTTGGGGATGCAATTAGGGCTAAAAGCAGAGGAAGATGATTGGTCTTCCAGTTGAAGGTATTGCAGGTCCCCTGACACTTGGCATTGGTCACCTCAAGCAGGCTCTCTGGAGAGGAGACATAGAAAGAAATAATTGCTCTGTTTATTGTTTTACTTTCTCCCAGGTAAAAGCTCACCTGTTTCTCAAACACAATTATTACTTTGCATTATACTTCTCCTGCCCACACCAGTGAACTGGTTCAGAAAGAGTGAACTTGAAATACAGATAAATACACTGTCACGCACACATTATTGCATAAGAAGGACATTATTATTGAAGAAAATGCTTGTGTACTTAAAATAAGCCTGAGATTAGTGGGACATAAGTATCTTTTAGCCCTATTCTTTTACTTCTGGTTTATAATGAAATACAGTGTAGATGGTGTACATTTTACTAAACATGGATTTTGAGTACCCTGCTTATATTTATAAGTTCCTTTTTATTGTTCAAAAGAAAAATGGAATAAAATATTTCTTTAATAAATTAAGAACATCCTCTGTCTTTCTGAAGTGCATTCCATGCTGTTGAGCTAAGACTTGGTATGGGAGGAGGTAATCAGCTGTCTGGAGAACAAGCCAGAAGTTATTGCACAAAGATTGTTCAACATTTTGGGGGAATACAGCTGAAAATCATACAAAACCAAGTTTCTGTATAAAATATGCAGTTTGTACATTTGAGCACTTTTGTCTTTGGTCCAGCTAGAAACAAGAAAAGCAGAATCAGTTAAAAGACAAAAAGCAATGATGGCAGATATTTACATTTGTATGCATGCATTTACTATTTTTAGCCTCTCTCATCCCAAAGATTTGAGGGAATAATAATTAAGTATGCAGATGGAACAGCATTGGACATTTTTTCATTGCAAACCTAAAGTAGGGTTTGCTGTTTTAAACTACTGTACAGAACTTAAGTATCGAGCCCTTTTATAAATAAGTTACTGTAGTGAAATATATGATATAAGCCATCTTTGCTTCCATTTAACTGAAAGCCAGGACAAATGAAAAGATTTTACAGTGCTTCTAAGAGGACTGTTCACAAGTTACGAACTTGGAAGCATGACAGTACATATGAGAAAGCAAGGTTACATAACACCAGCTTGACCCTGCCCCTACTGTCACTTGTGAACATAAGCCTATCCATAGTCCTGTCTGAGCAATGTGGACCATCCATGCATTTGTGAAGGTTACCAATCATGCAGGCAGAACCTATACACATAAATGTATGTGTTTAGACTTTTATGCACAAAATATAACAAATGCATTCAGAACCATGGTGGGGCTAGTTGGAATATTCTCCCCCACCCCACCCCAATTGTAACTTATGAAAAATTCTCCTGAAGGATCTTCAGAAAACCAGGATATAACAAATTGCAAGGCCGCTACCAAAAATGCCTCTTATATGGTGTTTTTCCTTCAGCAAATTCCTGGTGCAGGCAGTGCCCAGCATTCATTGTACATATGTGTAAGGCTTTGGACAAAGTAAAACTCCTGGTTTAAGGGTTGCCAGCCTCCAGGTGGGCTCTGGAGATCCCCCATAATGACAACTGACCTCCAGACAACAGAGCTCAGCTCTACTGGGGAAAATGGCTGCTTTGGAGGGTAGATCCTATGGCATTATACCCCGTTGAGGTCCTTCCCTCCCCCAAATTCTGCCCTTCCTCCAGCCACTGTTTGGGAAGCTTTTTTTACCTCTGTTTTTGCAAATGGAAACAGAAATACCCAGGAAGTTAGGTCGATATTGCCATCGGGTGCAAAGGAATGGCCCCCGGGAACAGCAAGTGAGATTAGGACTTCAATTAAACAAAAAGAAAAGGGAAAAGCACCTGGGTCCAATTTAATACCAGCAGAATTATTCAAAATTGACTGGTGGGCACAGATTTTGGCTATTTATTTCACTGAAATAAACAAGACAGGCAATATGCCCAAGGTCTGGTGTAGTGCAATAATTATTCCAATTTATAAAAGGGACCAGATGATGGATAAAAAGGACCTGATGGACCAGATGAATTACTGTCCAGTAAGCTTGCTATCCACTATAGGAAAACATTACGCTGCAATGCTTCTTGAAAAGTTGGAATCTTGAGTTGAAGGAAATAACATTTTGGGAAATGAACAGGTTGGTTTTAGAAAAGGAGCAAGTACCATCAACCGTTGCCATACCCTCCAGTTCTTGGTTGATAAATACACAAGTTCTGGAGAAGGCATGTTAACAACTTCCTTAATGGACCTAGAATCAGCATTTGATACAGTCTCTAGACACTGGCTATGGGAAAAGCTGAAGAAATATGGCATTGAACTACATCTTACTTAATTAAACAGCTCTACAATCATCCCTCCACCCGGGTTAGATGTGGGGAGTTAGGACAGCTATCAGAGCCTTTCATCCTAGACAAAGGAGTAAAGCAGGGATGTTTACTTGCACCCCTGTTGTTCAATTTATATATAAATGACATCAGACCCTGTATCCTGGAAGAACCATGTCATTTTCCATATTTATCCAAGCATGAAGTTCTAGTCCTTCTATATGCTGATGATGCAATGATAATGTCTAGATCAATAGTGGGCCTCCACAAGCTGATAAAAATTTTCAAGCTTTACTGTAATCATGAGGGTTTGTCCATCAATATGGCAAAATCCAAGGTCATAGTATTCACCAAAAGGTAAAAGGGGGAAATCTTCAAATGGGACATAGCAGGCCAACCTATGGAACAGGTCAATCAATTTAAATATCTGGGAATCCACTTTGAAGCATATCTTACATAGAAAATACACTTGGATCTAGCAAGGAACACAGCCTTGAGAGTAGGGAGGACAATTGTAAAATATTTCTACTCATCGGGGTGAATTTGTCCCCTTGGCCTTAAAGATATTTAATGCTAAGGTTCTAAACCAATTCCTGTATGGTGCGGAAAAGTCCCATCCTTATGATATTGTAGAACAACTTCTGTAATAAGTTGTAGTAAATGACAAACATCTAGATATAAGCCTCAACAACTGGAGTTGTAAATAAGAGGGAGCTAACTTCTGAGGAAGATCTACTAAGAATAACTTCTGAGGAAGTTCAACTACGAAACGGGTTTACATCTGGATGCTTGTCATTTGTTCAGGCCCGTAGCCTCCATGGGGCCCACGGGGCCCGGCCCCCCTGCTCATTTTGCGGGCCCCCTCCCTCGGGATCCGCAGCGACGCGCCAGCCCGCCTCCCTTCGCCCTGAGTCAGCCACGGCAGAAGAGCGGCGGAGCTCAGGGAGGGAGGGAGAGTCCCCGCAGCAGGACCCCCTCGCCCGCGGAGCGCGGCGGCAATGCGGCTCCAGGCAGGCAGGCTGAGCGGGCGGGCCGGGGAGGCGCAGGAGG